ATATCATCAATGAACACCACAACAAACTTATCCAGAAAGAGTCTGAAAATCCTATTCATATAATCCATGAAAACAACTGGAGCATTCGTCACTCCAAAAGGCATGACAACATACTCATAATTGCCATACCGAGTCCTGAAAGCAGTCTTTGGTATGTCCTCCTCCTTTACCCGACCAGATCTCAAATCAATCTTGGAGAAAATAGTAGCTCCCCTTAACTGATCCATCAAATCATCTATTCTTGGCAATGGATATTTATTCTTGATTGTCAATTTATTTAACTGCCTGTAATCCACACATAACCTCACACCACCATCCTTCTTCTTTACCAATAACACTGGTGCTCCCCACGGAGATACACTAGGTCTGATCATCTGCTTCTCCAAAAGTTCTTCAACCTGCTTCTTCAATTCAGATAACTCCGCTGGTGCCATTCTATAAGGAGAAATAGACACTGCTCCCCCCTGGTATAAGATCAATACTAAATTCCAACTCTCGCTTTGGTGGTAATCCCGGAACATCATCCAGAAAAACCTCTGGGAATTCTCTAACAACATCAATACTATTCAACAACTTTTCATTCTCTACACTAATAAAAGATAGGATCATAAACCCAAGAGCTTCACCCTCCAACAACCCATCCACCTGTCCACTAGAAATAAATCTTTCCTGTTCAACAGTAGGAAAGATTAATCTCTTCTCTGAACAATCTATCAAAATCCTATTGGCAGAAAGCCAATCCATCCCTAAAATCACATCCAAATCGGATAAAGGTAAACAAAATAAATTCACTTTATAACAATGCCCTTCCACCTCCACTAGACATCTTAAACAAACCTCAGAAGTCAAAATAGAACCTGAAGCTGGAGTAGAAACAACTAAATCCACACACAAGGAGCTCACAACTAAATTTAACCTTCCCACACATTCATAAGAAATAAAAGAATGTGATGCACCAGAATCAAATAGAATAGAAATATCATTACCATCAGCTTTGCCCTTTCCCTTTACCAGCACAGATGACGTTTCAGCTTCAGCACCTGTTAAAGCAAAAACACGACCTGCTGCAGTAGGCTGATCCACTTTTTGGTTCTCTCTAGCCGGAGTATTTCTGACATTGCAATCTTTAGCCATGTGACCCACCTTGCCACATTTAAAAAACACATAGTTCTTTGTAGGACAGTCCCTCATCATATGTGGGCCTCCACATGCGTAACATCTAATACTCTAAACAACTCCTGTAGTAGTAGTCCGTATTGATTTCTTATTAGCATTTCCAATTTGAAACTGAGATGGTCTCTTTTGAGGATGTTTCCCCCTCCCAAATCCAGTTGATCCCTCTGTACCCTTTGCCACTCTATTTCCTCCTTCAAATCTCTCAACTGTTTTTGCCTTTTCAACTAGAACTGGGAACTCCATAATCCCCATAGGAACAATAGTCTTTTTCAGCTCATACCTTAAACCCTCACTGAACTTCCTACATCTCCATGCTTCAGAGATAGCTTGAGAATAGTACCTAGCCAAGTGTTCAAACTTGACCACATACTCTTGCACTGACATATTTCCTTGTTGCAGTCTCAAAAATTCAGCTTCCTTAGCATATCTGGCACTATCTGGAAAATATTTCTCTAGGAATACCTTTTTGAAATTTTCCCAATTTACCGCCTCCCCTCTAGCCTCCATCATAACTTGAGCACCTTTCCACCAGAAACTAGCCTCACTCACCAACATATAAACAGCATAAACTAGTTTCCTTTCCTCAGGATAATGCATCACCATGAAGATTTTCTCCATCTCCTCAATCCACTGATCAGCAACTTCAGGTCCATCAACACCTGTAAATTGGGGAGGATTCCCTTTTCTGAACTCTGACAAGCCTCTATACTCATCAGGTACCTCAGCTACCACGGTGTATTCCTTAGGAATGATTACCATTAACTGCCAATGGGACCTACATTGTATGACAAACAAATTAGTTATAAAATTACCATGATTAAAAAACCAATTAAAAAACTAACCCGTCAATGTATGGAGCCATGTATATATCTCTTCTTGAGTCACTCATCCATGTTTGCATATATTGCTGGATCTGGACCTGAGTGTTTCCTGATTTTTGGATTGATTGAGGCTCAATAAATCCATATACTTCTGCTTGTGCTTGTTCCACACTCAATTTGTCCATGTACCTAACACAAATAATTATTATAAGTTAAATGTAATTATTGTAAATTTAGACTCATAAAAGAAAATATGACTTACATGGCCCACAGCTGTATGATAGAAATATTTAACATGGAGTTTCCCCCAACAATCTCTAATGCATCAGGCATAGATATGTATAGTGGAACATCAGCGCTATTGTAACGACCCACCCTAGGCCGTCACATCCAGAACCAAGTAAAATAAAATAATATAGAACAAGGGCCAGCTACGCTAGAGTGTAAATATACAATAACATATAAAATTGTTTTCAAAATATATAACATATTTTTATAATAAAGTCATTATCCTCAGTAAGGTTACACATTAATACAAAAAGGTAATATAATTACAACGTCATGAAGACATCAAAATAAGACACCCTAGGTGCTGGTCAAGCTCTAAACCTAGCCACTTCTCAAAGCAGCTATCCAAAAGACTCCTTGCTATCCCAAGGCCTCATACCTGATCTGCTCCCCCACATAGTGAGATCATCATAGTCCATCATGGAAATATAAGGGTTAGCACATATAAAACCAATCATAGTACATCATAATAAAATATCATTAAACAGATATTTATCCACAGTATTTATCCAGACCAACAAGTCATTTCCAAGCTAAATATAGACCAATACAAAATATAATGTATACACATCCATGCCAATGCATACATATTTTATGATAATAAAGAATCCATAACCAATGTATACAATCCATACCATATGTATACATATTCCACATCCAAAACAAAGTCACACCACTGTATAATCCATGATGTAACCAACACATCCAAACCAAATCTTGGCCTCAACACATCCAAACCAAGTATTGATACGGTGAAACATGCTATCAACCCATGTCTCACACCTAACCTCTCATGGAAAATATACAATTGGATTACGTCGTCACGTAACCATGGTGATCGTGGCCACCTCATCCATCGGTATGACTTAGCCTGGACCCATACCGGTAGCAAATAGAATACTTAGAG